GATGCTGTTGAAGACAAGAAATAAAAACAAAAGAAACTATAGAGGCTGAAAAAGTAGACACATTGTGTTAAGATATTGTGTTAGGATGAGCTTGCAGGTTTAGAGAATTCCATCCAGCTTGCCAAGAAATGCATGCACCTGAAACGTATTGCAAAGCATTGTAGCCCGTCGTAAAGGCTGAAATAGTCACTATGCCCATCATCTCAGTTCCAGGCTTGTTGATTAAAAACAATAAAACATCACAAGAAGTTCAAAACTTCTTAAAGACTCTTTTGCCTTCATAAATACCACACTCTTTTGCTCTTCTGTATTACTACTTTGCTAATAAAAACTGGGCGCATTTTTCAATGTCCTTAAGCCTTATAATTGATCTACTAGACAGATTGGAAGACTCGAAGGGAAAAGTGCTGATGGGAGGCAATCTAAATACCTACCTTTGAGTTTCTTAGAGATTCCTTGTGTCTTAAGTGATGACAAGTTCTGTCCAATACAGTGGCCACTAGTCAATGTATGCGCTATGTCTCATTCCTTCAGTTCCTTGATATCTGCATACATTAATCTCAAAACATGATTCGTTCCAAAATGTTATTAATGTATTTAGGTGGATCGTTTCATATTTTCAGACTTCCTTGGAAACATCCCTATTCCAGAAGAGAACAAACACCCTTCTGGGGACCATGGAGACATTGCCTGAAGCTGTCTGCTTTAAACACAGATATTTTTGAAGTTTATTTGCTTTATTTTAAGAATTCAAGTGACTTTTGCTTTTGAATCCATAGTATGGCTGTGCCAGTTTCAATATAAAAATAATACTATAATTTTACCAACTAAATTATATAATTCATCATTTAAAAATAGTGTCGTCTTCCTGGAGCTTCCTTCATGTTCAAGTTCCCACACGGACCCTAGTTTGAAAAGTGTTGCTTTCAGTTAAAAGGAGAGAAAAGCATGAATGTTCTACCAAGCAGGATAACATTCCAACGCAGACTTTTACCAGCAAATCTTCAAGTCAAAATTTAATAGAAAAGTAAAGGGAACAAAAGCAAAACCATTTCCATAAAGCTTGAATGGATGAATAAATGAATGGATCATTTCTTAATATATTTTTAATTATCATTCATCTCCTCTTCACCTTCTTTTCCCAGTGCAGTGGTGACACAGAGGAAAAAGCCCTCACACTTTCTCTATAAATTACTAATTCAAAGACCCTGGGTGAATCTTAGTTCATTCCCTCTGCTGTCGTTTCTTTAAGTTTCTATTTTTGGAAGGGTCCATTTCCATCCCTTATTTCTTCCTCCATTAAATCTTCCTTCCTCCGTCTTTCTCTTTCTCCAGTTCTAAGTTTCATGGAAATCTGTTAACAGTTCTTACCTGCTTTATGCTGCACCTTTTTTGTATGTTCCCAGCCTACGTTTGTTGGCTCATCCCTGTCTTGCTTTTTTTTTTTCTCAGGGCATCTTTGTGTAGATATGCTGGTTCCTTTTTGTGTATTATTCATATTTGCATGGGGTACGTTCTGTTTGGAACCACTAGTTTGGAATGACATGGCCCTGCCTCTTATGTCTCTAGTCCTATCTTTAATTACTTCTTTACATTCTAACAACACAGAATTATTTGTGTATTGTATACCAGATTATGAAATTTCACATCTGCACTCCTTTTCAGATGTCTGTTGCTTCTACCTGGCATTCTTCTCCTTTCTTACTTACCTACTAAGCTTCTACTTACCCTGCAAAGCCCAGCGCAGATGGTTCTTGCTTTCTGACACCTCCTTTCCCTCTTTAGGGACAAAACTGATCTCCCTCTATTCTACAAAACCTCTTTCCATAGGTCTTGATCATTATATTTCTTCACTTAATTGTACTCATTTGTTCACATTTTTTTTCCCACTAGATTATCAGCTCCATGAAATTGATATCTTGTTCCTCTTCATATCTCCATCACTTGACACTGGGCCTGGAACTTAATGTGGTCCCAAGTAATAATTATTATTCAGGTTTAAATCAACACAAATTGAAATATTTAAACCTGAATAGTAATTATTAAGGTTTAATAAAATAGAAGTAACAATTTTACATGCAGGGCTTGAGTCTTTATTTTTGTTGTGTTACTTTGCTGAATTTGTATGAAATGTAAATAAAAGTGTAAGAAATACCAAAAAATGCAAAATAAAATATATATATTTTATAGACTATAATAAAAGACTGGTAATCAAGAAAGATGTGAGGAAGAGCACTTTAAATTCTGGAGTTATTTGAGTGCTCATCATAGTTTAGCTGATGCTCTCTCCAAGATAAAGTGAATATGGAAGAGGAATCAAAAGCCTGGGACAAAAACACAAATCACCCAGGTGCCGTGGGAAGAAGAAGTCATGAGCTTTTATGCATTCCTTAGTTGTCAGATGGAGGAAGATTGTCTATTCCTGAGATTCAACCCCTCAGTTTTAACAAATAACTACTTAGATTGCTGACTTCACAATATTTCTCTTCTCCTGAGCTAAATTCTGTAAAACATTTTATGCCCATTTCCAGGCATAATGTATGATGTATATGTCTCAGTCGTATAACTTAGTGACTTGTTACAGTGCAAGGTGAAATACTGAGTGAGGATTGAAATACTCCATATGTCTTGAAATTCCACAAATCCAGGCGTGCCGGAGACATTGAGCATAGAAACTCAACATGACTAATCCTTAGAAAACACCCTGAAATCGATAGCTCTTCCCCGCTGCCTGGACACACTGCAGAGCGTATCCCCATGGGACTTTATCGCAGCCATCTGGAATTTTTCAGATTTAATATTAGGTCTTTGCTTTTGCAGAGAGGCAGCAAAAGCCTGCTGCCCAACTCCTCCATCTGAGACATTGCTTTGTTCATTTCCGTGAGTTTTTCTTTGTTCCTATAGTTCTGTGAGAAATTAATTTCAAACAATCGGAGACACATTTTTGCTTTACTTCCCATCAGAAAACACCGGGAGTGAAAAAGTTTCCTTGTGGCTGACTCTTTTTTATGTCCTGCACAGATTATTATCTCATCCTATTTCAATATATGATTTTTTTAGACTCACCTTCCAGTCCAATTTCACCTTTATTCAACATGCTCTCGTCTTTTATTTTTTTCCTAATTGTTAAGCAGACTGTGGATCTCCATTGCCAGGTGCATTGGGTGGCATTGGGCTCTGAGAGTGACTACATTGTCTCCAGTCTGGAGCTTCAGGCTCATTCCCCAGGCTCTTCCCTCACAGCTGATATAGGAGCTGACAAACTTGTCTTGACGGGCATTTGAAGGTGACATGATGACTTTTTGTGGAGCCCCAGAGTGTGTCTGAGTCTGAACACCAGTGTGGTGTTGCTAAAATTAATTCAACAGATTTTAATCGGGGCCCCTGTGTTTAAAATAAGAGTTGGTCTTAGTTTTTAAGGAGCGCACAGCCTTGTGGGGAAGACCAGTGTGTGGACAGTAAGGAACAGGGGAGCTCCAAAGAGAGGATAGCTCTGATCCACCAAGGGTGGAGGGGGAGGGAGAGGGATGCAGTGATAGCTTAGGATGACAGTAGGTTCCCTCTTACTGTTCCCTGTGTCATTGTCCTACATACTGATTTTCTCCCTACAAAATCTTTGGACCTTCTGTCATTTTCACATGCAGAAGTTTACTTGAAGAGACCTGTAGGTCGAAATGATTACACACTTTTCCACTGATGACAGTGTCTTTATACCATACAGTTCACTCACATAATGGACAACAATATTACTGATCTGTAGATAAAGCAGTATCAAGCATCCCAAAGTAGCTAAAATTTTCCTGCAACCAGTATGCATCCACTAACTCATTCTTTTCCCAACCTTGTCATCACATCTCATTAATATTAATTATATTAATGGTTAGCTTTATTACCGAACTCTTGCATTGGCCTTTGGTCATCTCCCAGCTATGGGCTTTAACAGTCTAGTTGTTTAAAGGAGAAGACTTCAATTTATAAAAGTTTTAAAGGAGAAGTCTTCAGTTTATAAAAGTTTTGTGGGACTCCAAAGGTTATTCTAATTTCTAGCCTTTTCCTTCAAAATTCAAACATCCCTGAATTCCGTATTGTTTCTCCTTCTCCCCAGAAAAGAATGAGTTAGTAGTCAAGATTGTACCTTCCAAGCTTGAGAGGAGTTCATATATAAGGCTATGTCTGTATTGCTCAAAGTAACCCAATTAGTAGTCAGCTGTGGAAGGAAACGGGGAATTACTGTGAAAGAGGTTGATATAATGCTTCATTGGTATTAGTCATAATTAGAGCTGAACCCCAAATAGGATGGAAAGTCTTTAATTTATAAAAGTTTTGTGGGACTCCAAAGGTTACTCTCTTTCCTCATCCTGATTCTCACAGGTTTAGAGACATACGGCCAGAAATAGAAGGTCGATGTAATTCTCATTAAAACATTAAATTCCGCAAAGAGTGGAAACAAAATCCAATAATAAGTGTACTTGCCATTTCTTTTATTCCTGCTATTTTTGCTGTCGGAGATTAATTTTTGCCCACAGAGACTCAGCCTAGTGCGTATTTACATCTCTGGCATTTTTTCTGGAGGCCTGGGCTTGGGCGCTTACTCACACTCTGATATCACAGGATTTCATCTATTATCACATTTTATATGAGTTCTTTTTGTGTGTATGATAAATCCAGACTTAACTAAGTATGTGCAGTCCTATGACACTATACAGTAGACATTCTAGTAACACTACCCCTCCACCAACCCAGGTAATCTTTGGGAGTTATTGATTGGAGTAACTTAATGGAAGTTATTGATTGGAATATATATATATATATATATATATATATATATATATATATATATATATTATGCAACCAATGCATTAATTATACCATCTACTCTATGGAATTTCTATTTAACTGAATTTTGAGGGTATAATTTCTATAATTTCTTGATCATTGTTGTACTTATAATTATCAGTATCATTTACAAAAGATTTATCATGCTTATTATCTCATTTTAGGTCTCCAGTCTCTTCAGAAGATCACGGTAAGCATCTGTCTTACTTGTACTAATTCAGGATTAAAAGTTGAGCTCTGCTCCTTACATTTCATTGTAAGGGCAAAGAATTATTTAAGAAAATGTGTCTAAGATTGTTTGCCTTGTATTTTTTTTAGTGTGAAATGTGAAATACTTTCAAAAACTTAATTCATCCTAGCTAAATTTAGTATCTTGTATTTCTTTGATTATATCACAACCATTTTGGTTGACAAATATTAAAGCTTGACATATTCTGCCTGATTTCTGTCCAATCTCCAGAAATCTTTTGTGACTTCATGTAACTTCTTTGAATTACAGATATTTTTAAAATGGGGGTTAGTAGTAGACATTCCTAAAAGTCTCTTCCAGTTCAGACATTGGGGTTTGCACAGGGTATTATAAGTCTCAAATGAACCTAATTGGTAAGTGGTATGAGTTATTATCCAGCTGAAGTGAGTTATTGGCAATTTAGGAAACAACTATGTGATTGAAAGAATAAAACGTATGTTTTTGTCACATCTAACTTTTGGAGTGGTTCACTTATTCACTCAAATGTTCAAAAACATTAAGTGTCTACAGTGAGTCAGTTATGCTAAGTAAGCATGTTATACAAACATGCTATTGTGGTGTGTGGCACAGAACTTTTCCCCTAAGGAACTTTATGGGTCCAGTGGGGAAGAGGGTGGTGGAATGACACTTATCTACTGCAATACAAAGTGAAATGTGATTAATCTTATAAAAGAGGTATAAACATGACTCTAGGAATACTACTGGCTTTCTCCTCATCCAGTCCCTGCTAAGGCACCATTCTCCATTCAGCCAGCCAAGTAAATACCATGGAAGCTGCTCTAAGCTTCTTCCCTCTTCCCCTTGTTTCCACCTGTCCACACTTGCTTTGTGTATTTCTCTTATCTCTACTCTCTTTTCCATCACCATTGCTTTAGTTTAGGGCCTGTCCATCTCTTTCTTGGATTTCGAAAATTGTTTTTTACCTGGCATTTCTGCCTCCAAATTTCTACCTCTAGTTCACTGCATGCTTAGATAGCATCAAACGGGTTGTTCTAGAGTAAAAATCTATTCCCATTCCCTGTAGGATGAAATATTTTCAGTAGACAAATAATTGTATTCAGATTTCCAATGTTGTATTTTAACACAGACTAGAAAGTTCTAAATGATGGAACCTTTGTCTTCCTCTACTGCTTATTGCTTCTATTGGCATCTTTCCCCTTCTGTCCATGCAGAACCACTTCTGATTTCTGGAACTCACCTCAGTTTTGGAGTCTCTCTGCTTTTTACCCCTGCTGCTCTTTCTGACAGGAAACTGCTCCTCCTTTTTCCACATACACAGTACACTTACCATTTGAGACTTCATTAGAACATCTCTTCTCTCTGAGAGCTTCCTGACCCACTTCTCACTGCAGCAAATGTTTTCCTTCACTCTAGAATTTAACACATAAATTTGATGCTTGATTTGCCTATCTCCTCTGTGAGATTGATATCACTCCCAATAAAGTAGAAAACATTTAAAACATGTTTATTAAATGAATATGTTAAGAAGAGAACGAGGAATTTTTGCACAGGCCTCTTCTGTTCTCATATAAAATCTCTCCCAATACTGTAATGAAGTTCTTTCATGTTCTATGAAGAATCAGGGGGCACATTATGTTTAGGCCCATGAAGTCAGAATCAGGTGGCCAACCACCTAATAATGACCTATTATTGTCTTCTATTTTGCTTATTGGTGTTGGCATGACTAGGTTTTTTTATTGCAAAATTAGAGGTCCTTGGGCTTCCAGGTTCAAATGATAAACTAGAAGTTTGTGTTTGGTTTGTATTTTCAATTAAGATTTCACCTATTGACCTTTATTTGCTTTTGTCTTCCAATCAATAAGAACTTATCCCCCATTTCAGAGAAAGGGGGTAGAGGGACTTCTGAATTACAATTCAATAGTCTGCTAGGGATTATTAAGGTTATGAGCTGTCAGTGAGCATATGTTGGTGTCCTTGGAAGTCCAGTATTGATAGCACTACTTCAGAATTGATTATTTTAAGAACTGGTATATATGATGAGCTAAAGAAACATTATCTTAATTAGAGGACATTTATATGTTCCTGGCTTCAAAAATGCTATTACATGTTCATGACTCTTAGTTTGATTCTGCAACTTTCCAAAACCACTCAAATATATAATGTAAAGTTATAATGCTGATTTATCTACTTTTATTTAATTTTCATCATCTTTGGCCCATGTATCCTTAGAAAATATTCTTCTTCCTTTCTTTATCACCAAGATTCTTTACTAGCACTTAAAATGTGTTGTCTTCTGTCCATATATTTTTGTGCTCATATATTCTGTGATTAGCATAAAATCTCTTGAATATCATTTCATCGAGCTTCCATTTGCACAGAATAATGTAGGAGACATAAGAAGTGGTATTTTTGGTTTTCAAACTTATGGGTAGAAAAATTGGGGCACACTGGGCAAATGATTATGAAATTGGAAGATAAAGAGCTATATACGTCTTGACTATTTTATTTGCTTTTCACCAATGATTACACTTCTCTCTCTAAGCACTGGTCACTTCAGCTATCTTCAAAACAGGCTTCATTCTTGAGAAAATCTGATTTTCTAAAGTTCAAAAATCCTGACATCTGAATTCACACATATTACCTTTTCATAGAAAATTGAATAGTGGCTTTGGTATTTATCCTCTGAGTTTGCTTCCTTGTTTGTAAAACAGGGCTAGTCGCATCTACCCTGCCCACATCATGGGATTGCTGTGAGTTCAAATGGGAAATCACCTGTGAAATCACTTTCCAATTTGTTAAAAAGCACCTCAGACGTAATGCTGTTGTTGGCCCAGCAGTGCACAGGGACATGTGTTTACTAGTGATCTTTGCTTGGCACTGGTGCTGCCTATGAAAACTTAAAAGATGTGCTGGTTGGGGAGGGGCGGGGTGGAAGTGGTGGTGCTTGTGGTGGAGAACTGTTTCCTTTGACATTATTATTAAATATTAAATTTTCATAGGAATACTTTTTACAGCTGGGTGAGGAGGAGTAGCATGGTTAATGACGCTTGTATAAACTAGAATAAAGGTTCCGTTTATGATTAGATGACTTGTCATGTGGAGTTGATGACACAGGCATAAATGAAATGTAAAATGTTTCTATTTATAGACTAGAGTATCATAGTCATTAAAAATAAAGGCTAAAATTTATCGAGTACTTATTATGTGCAGACACTGTGCTAAAGTGTTTCCACTACATTATTTGTCATTTCATCCTCTGCAACAGCACTCAAGAGCAGGTATTATCCCCAATTCTCCAGTTGGGGAAGCAATTCAGAGTTCTCAAATAACTTGCTTAGGATCACACAGCTAGTCCATGGTAGAATTAATTTTCAAGCCCAGTCTAACACTGGCTCATTTAGCCACCATGTCCTCAGAAAACAAAAGAAATGATGATCAGCAGGAAAGTGAGCTGAGAGGATTTTATGGAGAAAAAAAACTTTCTAACAAGAGTTTATTTACTACAGTGTCAGTCATTTCTTTTTAATGAGAAAACAAAACAGAACAAACACAACAACTTCTCCCTCCTGCTGGGAAGGATTTGTCCCGGTAGAAATAATAAACACCAGTGTCACATTCTCTCCTAATTAGTTAACTGAGTGAGACCGGAGCTTCAGGGAAACCTGCCATGCTCAGTCCCAGGGGCCACATTACGTTTTCATGTTACATCTGGAAGCTGGAGTCCTGCTCCTTGTCAGAAGATACGCTTGGCAGTGATTGATTGCCCTGTCCTATGAGTTTCCTCTGCATTTTGTGCCCATCTCAGCATTGTTTAAATTGCTCCTGGAGCCACCTCCTGTGCCCAGGCTGCCTCCCAGCTCACAGATTCTGTTCCGTCCCCAGAGCCTGCTTATTTTATGGGCCTCCCAGAATGCCTCTGTGCTGCTTCTACCTGTGCCCTGCGCTGATGGAGGGTCATCCTCACTCGTGTCTGTTCACTTACAAAAAGAGAGGCATTGGCAACTCTCTTGAAAGGAAGTGCCAATAATCTGATTCCTTCTGGAATGAATATCTCCAAAACAAGCTTCCCTCTCCTGTCTTATCTCCTAGCCCTGTTGGCATGTGGTTCTCACATTATATGGCAGCTTTTTGTTGCTGTAGTAGCACAATGGATGAGGATGGGAATAAGGGATGAATGGAAATAGAATTGTAACAACCACAGTCATTAGTGTAGGTGCCCAAGGATGAGTCCATGGTCAGGCTGAGCCAGTTTTACTTTGAAGTAGGTCATGCAAGGAAACTCATTATGGTGAGTCCCAAAGCTCTTTAAAGCATTAGTAGCTGCCCTTGGCTCAAACACCAGAGATTCATTTTTCTCTTTCATATAAATATATGCAATATGTAATTTTATTATAAGAGAAAAGATTCATAAAGATGTATAAAAATGTATCAACTCGGTTTAAATAACCTAAAGGAACCACTGTGTACACAGCCCAAGAACTGAAACATTTGTAGTAATCTGGACCCTTCACATCTGCCTTTCTGATTATGTTCTCTTCCCTCCCCTTCAGAGATAACTACTACTGTGTTTTTACGTTTATGACCTTACTACAAGTATGCATATTTCATGCATGAATGTATATGTATACATGTGTATATATATTTCATATGTGTGTTTATAGTTTTGCTTATTTTGAACTTTTATAAGTTGAATGCTATTGTAAATCTTCTGTGACTTGCTTCTTTTGTTCATGTTTTGTGATTCAACCTAATTGGTTAATACCACATTTGTTTTATTAAATTTTTCATACTCTATAGTACTTTATTGTATGAATATGTAAAAATTTATATATTCAAATTCTGCTGGTGAGTATTTATGGAGACTCCACGTTTTTGTTTTTGTAACACTTCCTGGTGTCAATGTCCAAAAATTTCTCTTGGGTTTAAACCTGGGATGGCATAGTTGGGTGGTAGATCTTACACACATTTATTATTTATTT